AATTTGCTTTTCTAAAAAAAAAACAATTTCTTTGTAAAATAAAATAAGCAATAAATATATATTTCTATTAGATGTTTATTTATTATAGATTTTGATTTAATAGTATTAACTATCTAGTATTATATACTGTTTATATAATATTCTAACATTCTTATATAATATTCTTAATAATAAGGGATTATTCCAAACTACTTAATAAGAATGTAATATTTGTAATATTACTTCATGCCCCCAAAAATATGACAAGTGAATGAATATTAATTCAGAAATTGTATGTTTAAGTCATTGATGTATGAATTCCATTTTTAATGAATTTTTGGTGCATTAGAAATGGCATCATGTCAACTATTTGTGGTTCCTTTTTGTAGGTGCGAGACATGAATAGTAAGAGCGTAGTTGCTCAGCTTGAGGAAGACAACATAGATCTTCTCGATCCCTCAGAGCCTATGGTGAGCACAAAGGAACCGGCTCCTCTGCCTGACTCGCTTTCTGAATCATCTGTGGATTCAGAGGAGATCTCAGAGGAGACCACAGAGGAGGAGGAGCTGCTGGAGGTGCCGGAGTCTGCTGAGGAAGAGGCTGTGGATGCAAGTCACCAAGTGCCTGAAGATGATGTTGAGAAACAAGCAGACAAGGCTGAGAGTGCCAAAGAGAGTGAAGTGTTATTAGAATCGCCAAAAGCTTTTGCAGTAAAGGTGAAAGAACGAGATGAAGATGAGGTCGATGAAGATGTTGTTGAGGATGAAGCTGAAGACGGTGGAGATGAAGATGATGAATTGACGGTGGTGGAACCTGAGATGCAGAAGAACTGTACAAATGAGGTTGGAGGTCAGACAGGTTCTCTAGAGCCTGAGAAAGAGGAGACTTCAGCTGATGAAAGCGAATCATCTGCAGTCAATGTTGAGAACGTTCCTGAATCTGATCCGAAAGTCAGAGATGATGTCTGGAGATCAGCAGAGATGCTTCTTTCTACTGTGTCTCCTGTGCTGGAGAGTCCAGTTCTCCATTCTCAGTTCTCCAGTGCATCGATGTCTCCGGTAGAGCAGGAAGAGGAGCCTGAGTCCAACAAGCTAGATGTGTCTGGTGAGCCTCAGGAAGTGTCTTCAGAAAAACCTGAGGGTGTTTCTGAGCAGCAAGTTCTTGAGCCACCTACAAAAGAACCGACGAGAATGCTTGAGGTTCGACCTCGGTTCACCATCGCCCCTGCGTGGCAAAGGTCATTGGCTTCTGGAGGCGCCCAAGAGCAGACCCAGACCATCTCACTGGTGCTACCAGAAACGAATGCTTCTAATGAATCTCCCCAAACAACTGAACTCATTACTTCCGTACAAGAAGAACGACCCAAACCAGCCCCAGCTCAGAGTTCCCCAACACTTCCTGAGCGGAAAGAGATGCCCCCAGAGAACCCATTTGGAGTGCGCTTGAGAAAGACTCCAGTCCTGCACCGCTATGGTTTAGATGGAGAATCGCCTTGGACCCCCACTCAAACAGAGGCTTCAGGGGCGCAGGAGACCCAGGACCACGAGCAGAGCGGCAGGAAGTCTATCTTGCCAAAGAAGCCTGATCTGCTGCTAGCTGACACTGTGATGCCCGTCAGGAAAATCCCAGGTACCTCCATTCTTAAACAGCTGACTGTGTATACATGGGGGGAAAAATGACTTTTCAAATTAAAAAAAAAATTTTTTTAATCATTATTTTGTTCTGTTTTACAGTAAAGATATTTAAAATCCTGAAAACAAGATAAATAAAATACTTTTTCTTACCAATTATTTTCATTACTAAATTAAACTTCAATGTAAAGTCATTTAAAAGTCTTATGTGACTTTTTACTATACTATACTTGTATTGTAAATTCAATTATTTTATTGCAAATTCCATTTAAATTATTATCATTAAAATAATATGCAACATTAAAAAAGTAGTGCTGTCAAACGATTAATCGTGATTAATCGCATCCAAAATAAACGTTTTTGTTTACATGATATATGTGTGTGTTCTGTGTATATTTATGTATATATAAATACACACATACAGCATATATTTTGAAAATATTTACATATATATATTTATATTCATATAATTTATATTATATGTATAAATATATTTAATATATAAACATAACCTATTTTTCTGAAATATATACATGCATGGGTGTGTATTTATATATACATAATGTACACACACATATATTATGTAAACAAAAACGTTTATTTTGGATGCGATTAATCGCGATTAATCGTTTGACAGCACTATAAAAAAGATACAAATAAAATAATTTTGCTTTTGGAGTTGAAGGGATGATCAAATATTTTTACTGTGAAACTGGACAAAATACTAATTATTTTAATCGTTTAAAAATGTTGTTTAAATAAAATTATTAAATTTAATTATTAATTCTTATTGAATAATTATATATTTTGCAATGTAAAATAGGACAGTTGCAACCTCTTTAAAACTGTTTTATAGTGCATTCAGTTCAGGAAATGTTTTTTCTTTGTGTTCTTTTGGTATTTATTTGTAGGCATACATTTAGATAATCACAATTTCATGTTATTAAGACGACTTAAACTGGTATTTGCAATGCATTTAACTTGCATAACGTGACATTTCAGAGCGAAGCAGAATGTTTAGAAAGAATACTGTAAATATTACAGGGCAGGGCTTTATTTCATTGATCCTAAAAAGTGGGGGTTATTTTATATTATTGTTTAGCGTAATTTTTACTCTTCTGTGTTATGTAAGCAAAAAAAAAAAAGTATCATAAAAATAACATGATGCATATTTTATGTCCTTTTTCAGATACAGTGGGAAGAATATCTGTTGGTAGCCCCGAGTCTCCAAGCTGGATCTCTGTGGCCAGACAGAAACAGAGGAACTTCATCGAGAACTCGCCAGAACACTCTCCAGAGAAACTTCCCTCGCAGGTTTGTGCTGTTGCCTCATCTAATGAACAAATATGTCATGTCAAATCTTGCCCGCTTCTCAAGGAGGTGTTTGAAAACTGTGTCTTAGCATCATGAAGCAACAGAACAATCGTATTCACGCATATATCCTACTTAGTCATCTCTGCATGTTGCAGCTTGGGAAAATGCAGTATTCTGGAAAGATTTAATGAAGTGAAATGAATCGAACGCTACTCATTTTTTGTGGTAATTAGTTTTAGCCAATGCTACAAATACTTGATTCCTTAATGATATTTAGCGTTAATCTCTCAGATATGGTTTATTCTCCCTCATTTTTAAAATGTGTCCACTTGTTCTCAGGGGGATTCACCGGGCAGTTTATCAAATCCAATCGCCAAAGAGCAACCGGCACAGCCATGTTCACCTTTACAAGGTAATAATCTTTCCATTAGTATCATTCGCTGTCATGGCCTTACATAGCAAAGCTTTTATGGATCTTGCTTTGTTCTGTTTGGTCTAAAAAGTGCAATAATCTGCAAAGTCACAAAATATGGGATTAATCTCTTAATAGCATGAGGTTATGTTCTAAAATCAGATTGAAAAGGAAATGTATATCAATAAATGTCTGCCCTCTAGCGGATATGTATTGTAACTGTTTACATTTCCAATATAAATACTACTATCATACAGTACTTTTTCTTACCTTTACACTGGCGGACAACTTTTTTTGGGGGGGGGATGTTTTTGAAAAGTCTCTTATGCTCACCAAGGCTGCATTTGTTTGAGCAAAAACTACAATAAAAATGGTACTGTTGTGAAACATTATTACAATTTTAAAGAACTGTTTTCTGTTTGAATATATTTTAAAATGTAATTTCTTCCTGTGATCAAAGCTGAATTTTCAGCATCATTACTCCAGTCTTCAGTGTCACATGATCCTTTAGAAATCATTCTAATATGCTGATTTGCTGCTCAATTATTAGCAATTATTATTGGTGCTAAATTATTAATAATAGATCTTATTATCCTTGTTGAAAACAGTTTCTGCTGCTTAATATTTTTGTAGAAAATTTTGTACATTGTTTCAGGATTATTTGCTGAATATAAAGTTAAATAGAACATGGTTTATTTGAAATATAAATCTTTTGTAACATTATAAATGCCAATTTAATGCATCCTTTCTAAATAAATTCTAAATAAATATATATATACAGTATTGTACTTACCCAAAACTTTTTAATGGGCGTGTATTACCGTTTCCACAAAGATATGAAGCAGCACAACTTTTTTCAACATTGATAATAAACAGAAATGTTTCCTGAGCAGCTGTAACATTATAAATGCCAATTTAATGCATCCTTTCTAAATAAATTCTAAATAAATATATATATATACAGTATTGTACTTACCCAAAACTTTTTAATGGGCGTGTATTACCGTTTCCACAAAGATATGAAGCAGCACAACTTTTTTCAACATTGATAATAAACAGAAATGTTTCCTGAGCAGCAAATCATATTTTAAAATGATTTCTGAAGGATCATGTGACACTGAAGACTGGAGTAATGATGCTGAAATATTATATTATCATTTTTACTGTATCTTTGATCAAATAAATGCAGCCTTGCTGAGCATAAGAGACTTCTTTCAAAAACATTAAAAAAAAACATTAAAAAAAATTAATTATGCCAAACTTTTGGTCGGCAGTGTATGTGTGACCTATGTAATTGACCTATCGGTAAGCCCCTCCCCTCGAACGCAGATGAGCCAATGGCAGTCGAGTATCAGTTGCACGGGGAGCAGAACTCGGACATCTGTAGGTTTCAGCGCCATAGAGAAACATTGGAAGATCCTAAGCTCGCATCGGTTTAATGGTGTTTATGCTACAAAAATGGAAAAACGATGTGCCTAGGGTACTTGTAACACTAATTCCAGTTATCCTGAGAGGATAGGCAATGTAATTTATTTTATTCAATTTCCTAAATCTAACCAAAACTCTCATTAAGTTACACTTTTCATCTGCTCAAGAAGAACGTTATACCGGGTTCAGACTACACAATATTTTTATCGGTCACGATAGTCACTGTGTGCTATATTAGAGTGCCTCTACATATTAATCTGGTTAAATGTAAATTAATTTAATCTTACTCCGCGGTATATGAACGGTGTTGATCCGGGATGTTGTCATTGCGATCGTGACGACCGTAACATAATTCTCCCGTTTGCATTGTGATCTGTATTTTTACTTATTTATTTTAATATATTTTATATATCCCTCCATGGCATATTTAAGTCCCACTTGAAGGTCCATCTGTGTCCCAAATTGATCAGAAACACCTCGGAAGAAGGTTTTCACTGACAGCTGTCAGCAACTCCGTTTGTTTGTCCGAGTGAGCAACAGTAACTAAGGGGGGCGGGGCTTACTGATAGGTCAATTGCATAAACATAATGGCAGACCTACGTAACTGCATAAATGTATTATGTCTGATACGATACATAATAAACTAAAATAATAAACTATGAATGAAGATGAATATATAAGCTGTTATCCATTGTTTTGAATGAACAGTGTTCTGCTCCCTTGAACTGTCCAACACATCCACGGTAGAGAAGGAAAGCAAGAGAAGCGCTAACCCGTCCACTGCACCTTTGGCCCAAGATGAGCCTCCCTGGCTGGCTCTCGCTAAGAAGAAAGCCAAAGCATGGAGTGAAATGCCCCAGATTGTTCAGTGAATGGCCCCGCTGGCATATGGACTTCATAATTCTTCCCTATATTTCCATACACATAAACAATACATGTGAGCAGTAATAGGAACCATATACAGCCTAATTTTGCTTAATCCGCCCGGTGTCATTAATGTTTTTCTGACGTCAGAAAGGAAACGATGCACATTAGACTGGGGCTTATGGGTAATACATTGCATTTGTATTATAATTTGGTTTGCAACATTTGACTGTTATGTAATGCTTCAAACTGAGGAGAAAAAAGCCTAACGAGATTTGCATACAAAAAAAATTGAAAATGAGCCGCCATCAAAGCTGTGTTTTTATTTAGGACTGTGTGAATACCGTAATTGCTCTTTACTAAGTAATTTTGCTATGTTACGTTATAGCCTTTAAAGTTAGTAACACAGTTATCATGAATGGAGCGGAAGGTGACTTTGTATTTATTTATCTCACTCTTGTATGTTTTATGTATTTTTGTATTTACGTGCACAGCTTTGTGACTTGTACATAAAATGTGAAGTATAAAAAGAAAGAAAAATAATAAAATGGAGCCATGTTTATTTGACCCAGACACAGATCCTCTTTCTTCGTTTTTTTTATATACATTTTTCATTCATTTCTGTTTCTTTAGGATTGTATTGGTTATTATCGAGTATCCAGGTAGTATTTAATGCATGTAATTGTCATTATGAAAGCAGAAAGTATGAGCAAAAGATAACATTAAACCATCCAGTATTTGTATCTACGCTACCATTTTTTGAACAGTAAGATTTTTTGTTTTTTAAAGAAGTCTCTTCTGCTCACCAAGCCTGCATTTATTTGATCCAAAATACAGCAAAAGCAGTAATATTGTGAAATATTTTTACTATTTCAAATAACTGCTTTCTATGTGAATATATTTTCAAATCTAATTTATTCTTTTGATGCAAAGCTGAATTTTCAGCATCATTACTCCAGTCTTCAGTGTCACATGATCCTTCAGAAATCACTCTAATATGCTGATTTGCTGCTCAAGAAACAGCAGGGGGTATTCATTTGAGAAATTAACACTTTTATTTAGCAAGGATAAAGATAAAGACATTTATAATGTGACAAAAGATTTCTATTTCAGATAAAAGCTGTTCTTCTGAACTTTCTATTGTTTAACTTTCTACTGGGATCCTGTTGAGTCTGTGTTATAGTGAAATGTTTAGTGTGCAAAACATTAAGCATTAGCAAACATTTCCTATCATATTCCTGTTTGGTACAGACCTGAGAAGCTAGATTGGACAGAGTGGAGAAAAGTGCAGGTAAAGGTGAATGTAGGAAACAGTGACTAAGCAAGTGAAGACAGATTTGTTTAAAGGGGTCATATGATGCGATTTCATTTTTTCCTTTCTCTTTAGAGTGTTACAAGCTCTTGGTGCATAAAGAAGATCTGTAAAGTTGCAAAGACTAAAGTCTCAAATCCAAAGAGATATTCTTTATAAAAGTTAAGAGTTAGCCACACCTCAAAATAATGTTCTTTTTAGCAGCATCATATGACCCCTTTAAGGAAGAAGGCGTGGCTAGAGGCGTGGCTTCCTTGTACAAAATATATACATGGAAGACTTGTTTTATAATGTCCAGAATCTCATAATGAGCACTGATTTACTGATCTACTAACTTCTATTAACACTTAATTATATACAGTATGTGTCAAGTGCTCAGAGGTTACAATTGTATTCATCATGCCACCTGTAATAATAGCCTACATAAATACGTATAGGCCTACATTTGAGAACATTACACCAAGCCAACGAATAGCATTCTATAAACTATACATGAATCAAAAATATACAACTGTCAGGTTAGAATAATAATCAATCCAAGTGACAACTGCAAACAGATGAAGCTAGAGCTTTTCTTAGAACTGACTCCAATTCTCTCAGTGATTCTGGCAAAAACCAGCTAATGAATTTTTAAAGTCAAGATAAAACGTGTTCTGTTGAGTGTCTACAGTCTTAGTGTATCACATAATAATAATAAAAAATAATATAAGTATACAATAATATTATAGCCTGCATTTTGAAACGGCAAGAATATTAAAACAGTTACAAATATATCAGAAAAATGTTGTAAATACATTTATTTTCAATACACGTGTTGTGCAGTATGTTGTGACAGAATAAGTTACAATTTAGCCTACACACACAACATCATTAATTCGTTTTAATGTCTTTGAGGATCTCCTGATCTATTGTCTCTTGATTTTTTTGTTATAATGTAAGTTTTATGTGTTTGCGTTTTAAAAAATGAAGTTACAAAAGATCCTCTGCTGCATTTCCAAATAACAACATTTTACCACAGAATCTCAGTTCTGTTTGAGCTCTTATGATAGAGGAATTCAGAAGGTGCCGCGGGAATATATAAAGCGCGAGACTCAGCTGCTCACTTCGCGGCGAGTAAAGAGTGTGTTATAAACAGTGTTTACCGTGAGTTTACAGTTGTTGATAGCGTTTTATCGTGCTGATTATGGGACAGCGACTATCTCGTGGAGAGAAAGCGGAGGGACAACACTGACACCCACCGACCACACGAGCTCCATCCTCTCCTGAAGAGACGCCTGTGACTATCGGCGAGGAGGAGAGGAGACAAGACCAAGAAGAAGAGGCAGAAAAAGAGCAGGTTTCGGAGGTTTGCTTCTTTCTTCTGTTGTTTCTCTCCCCACAAATCCACCAAAGCTCAGAGTGAGCAGAGTGAGGAGGAGCAGGACACTGGTGTGTCTCCATCCAGGAGCTGTACTGATGATACATCAACATGAACATCAAAAAGTCTATTAATCATTGACACACATCACCATCACATTATACAAATGCAAATAAATACGTTTTTTCCACTACATGTGATAAATGTTTTAACATAGTTTGAAAAAAAAGTAAATATTTCAAGTAAGAACTTTCCCTTAATGAAAAAAATAATATAAGTATGTAATACTTTATTGATATTATTTGATTAAAAACCAGCTTTTGGTTGATATTGCTGTCTTTAGATCAGACGTCTCTGCAGGACGTCTTCTGTAGAGGACAATGATCATCAGGAGTCTCCTTCCAGTGCTCCTGAAGACCCCTCACTGCCGAGGAGCAACGCAGGACGTCCAGCCTCAAGATCAGGACAGTCCAGTCAGTCCTTCAGCAGATGAGTCCTTCACATCTGAGACATCTGGACTGTGACGAGATCACGAGGAGCGAGGGTGAGTTTACTGTCATAACCCAAAATATAACACAACCTCTAAAGGAACGTTTGTTTTAAATCATATAGCTGCAACTGAGGTAATATTTCTTTAGTTTTTTAGTTTTACACCATTTAGCTTTTTTGCAGTTGACTTAAATCGACTTGAAGTGCGACAAATTAATTTGAAAAATATACTTATCAATGTATTTCTCAATTAAAATGAATGAAAAGTAGAATTATAATAATTATATGAGAATTCGAAACAATTAGAGACAATGTTAGAATAGTTTTAGAAAAAGTATGGCATGCCATACTGCTTTATTAAATAATAATATAACTATAAAATAAAAATAAAACTATAATTATATTGTAATAGACCTCATTTGCTGGACGTATGCCATCGGCGAGGAGTTGGGGAAGGAGGCTCTGTCTTTGAAGGGACCCGCTGTGTGTGACAGAAAACGAGTCGTACCTCAGCCTTGTAAGAAGACTGCTCTCATCTCATCTCCTCTCATTTACTTGTTTCAATTGATAAGATCTTAGATTCATGTAAAACACAGTACAGATATTTCAATAGATAAACAGACTGAGCTGAATGTTTATTTGAGAAACTGCTTCCATCTGACCATCATAAAGCAATCGTTCTTCTAGCCTGACCATCCCAGTCCAGTTCCTCTAGAGGTGGCTTTGACAGTCAAGGCCAATCAAGGCCCCCGCTGTGGCCACATCATAGAGCTGCTGGACTGCAGGAGCATCCCTACCAGTACATCATGGTCTTAGAGCGGCCCTCGCCCTGCATGGACATCACGGCGAGCTCTTCAGTGAGGTGCTGGTGCTTCATTTCATGCGGCAGGTGATTGATGCTGCAGTCGTTTGCTGTTCCCGGGGGTCTTCCATCGGGACATCAAGATGTCCATCCTCCTGTTCAACACAGAGACCGTGGAGGTCAAACTGATCGATTTCGGTGTTGGGGACCTCCTGAAGAGCTCACCCAACATCACCTTCAGTGGCATGTATTCTCTCTCAAACATGTAGTTTGGGACTTTAACTCTAGTGACCAGTTACAGCATGTCTTAATCCACACATCATAGAGCTGCTGGACTGCAGGAGCATCCCTACCAGTACATCATGGTCTTAGAGCGGCCCTCGCCCTGCATGGACATCACGGCGAGCTCTTCAGTGAGGCGCTGGTGCTTCATTTCATGCGGCAGGTGATTGATGCTGCAGTCGTTTGCTGTTCCCAGGGGTCTTCCATCGGGACATCAAGATGTCCATCCTCCTGTTCAACACAGAGACCGTGGAGGTCAAACTGATCGATTTCGGTGTTGGGGACCTCCTGAAGAGCTCACCCAACATCACCTTCAGTGGCATGTATTCTCTCTCAAACATGTAGTTTGGGACTTTAACTCTAGTGACCAGTTACAGCATGTCTTAATCCAGCGAGATATTAACAATGCACTAAGAACATTCTCAGAAAAAGAAAAGCCATTCAAAATATTTTTTTTTGTTGACTGAAATTAAATGCCATTTCAGTCAGAGTAAAGTGAGAAAACTTAGACCAGCAAATGATTCAAGCAGGCTATAAGTACAGTCATTTGCAAAGTTAAATGAATCAGCTTTTTAAACGAATCGGTTGATTCAACTCACTCATTAAGACAGTCACTTGCTGCCACCTACTGGCCGTCGTAGTTTCATATTTTAAAAAGTAGCTTATTTCATTTTTGCAATCATTTGATATTTCTACATTAAAATGTTATATTTAAAATTAACATTTATGCACAATCCATCTATGAATTTTGTTGATAGTGATTTCATTTGATTGTTAATAGCCAGCATGTCTTTTTATTCGATTGAATATATCGATTAAATAAGAACCTGACATAAGAGGACAGGACACACATATGACAATAACTTTTATAATACTAATAAGCCAACATCTCTGGCTTTTTTTATGTATTTTTTTGCTAAAAGTTATTTCAGGGTTTTGATCTCTCAACTGAGAGAACACATCCTGTTTATTATATTATAATGAATATTTAATATTACATTTAAACTTTGACTATAGCCTAGACATGTTGCATATTAATTGTACTATTTATGAACCTCAAAGCATATGTTTGTGTATTTTGTGTTACTCCATAATGATGTTCTATTTGAGGGCATTTGTAGTGTAGGTATACGGCCCAAACATAACCTCAAGCCCAGGGGCCAAGTCCTGCCCTGCATGTGACAAACTCTTTCCTCCAGGGACAGCACATTTCTGTCCTCCTGAGTACTTTGAGAAGGGTGAGTACTGCGGGATGCAGGCGACGGTGTAGTCGCTGTGTGTGCTGCTGTTTATCATGATGACCAACCGTTATCCGTACAGCAGCGATATAAA